AAGTTGACTTAACGCACATCTATTCAGAAGTAGACCACACGAGGTCAGGAGAGCACCCAGATTTTCTTTATACGGGAGCACGTCCTCAGCGTCCTTGTCATGCCAGCTCATCGGCGAGGTAGTATTGACGGTGACCCGGAAAACAAATGAGCCCCAATAGCGTTATAAGCCGGAGCAGTCGATAGGAAAATCAAACAATCTTTCACTGTTCTCGAATGAACCACTAAGGAGCTGTTTGGGTGTCGGAATAGACGTTCACTTCCTTAAAACGTGTTGCCACTGAGATTTATAAAATAGCCTGGTAAGCTTGCAGATTAGTAATGAATTTCCATGGGATAGCTGCCCTTTTCTGTCCTTTAGGTCGTTGCTCTAGGACTTGTGTACTTTTGGAAATATTGCCTGAGTGCCGGCCCATTTTTTATTTATTAATTTTTTTTTTTTGTTTTTTTTGCCACGCAAAATGTTATTCCTTTCGTCCTCATAATGTCTGCTTTCCGCTGTGTTTGGCAGTACCACAATAGATTTTGAATGGCTTCTTGGAATATTATTCGCGCGATAACGCTTTGACTGTGAAGTGCGAATAAAATTCGTCTAACCGAAACGGCAGCCTTTCGCATCAATGGCTCGCCGAATTTTATTGTAATATTTGCTGGGTGATCTATTCTAATAAACTGCATTTGCTGTGCATTGGATTTATTTGAGTTTATCTATTCATTGAGCAGTCAAGAAAAATTCCCCGCTCCATTTTGCCATCCTCGACGAGAGTTATTTGGCTGAAAAGTTCTTCTGAAAACCTCTCTCCTTTCAGGTCACCAGGTACTTCGTCAAAAAGAATAACTCTCAATAACGGAACAATGCCAAAATTACTATTCCAAAGTATTAACACACTTGCGAATTCCTATGCTTGATGTTTCACATATAAACAACGTGTTTTAAGCGTTTAAATACGCCGAAAATCCTTGGGCAAACAATTCAAGCAAATGCAAATTTAGTCACAAAAACTAATGCAAAACTGCTTCAAATGTCAGAGTTTGAGAGCTTAGCGAATAATAACAACAATAACGAAAACATCTCACATACTCGTTTTACTAACTACAACAATAACTTAAGTACATATGTACATATGTATAACTTCCAACAAATCGCAACAGCAAAAACAAACATACATATATTTGTACATACATACATAGTTGACTTAAGTCGAACATGAAGTTGCATTAAACTGCATCAAGCAGCAAAAGCCAAACGAAATTGAGTGTGAGGAAAAATAACAGGACTTATAAAAAGTAACAAAAAAAAATCCCTGAAATTATGCATACTCGCTTTCGTGGAAACTTTACTCATTAAAATTTCACCGTAAGATTATGGGATTGCTGTTGCACGTACTTTGGTGTCTGTGAGTGTGTGCTTATATGTGCGAATAAGGAAACCTACATAGCTGTCGGCATGCAAGAATTTCACACAAGACCACGAAGAAAATTACGAACACATATACGGTTAGCAGGGAAACTGGGGTCAGCAAGGAAGGAGAAAAATATATTTAGGGGATTCCCTTAAGCTCGAAAGTGGCTCGAAAACCACGAAACCTCGAAACTTTTCCAGCCTCGAAAAACAACTGTCAAAAATTGTATGAGTGCCGATTTTCGCGTGCCTCGAAAACTTTCGAGGTTTTCGAGTTTTCTGCTCTTCGCGTTTAAGGGAATCCCCTAATTATAAAATTGATTGTAAATGGGCGATACATAGAAAGGAAATAATCCTTGAAGTAGTCTGAAGGCCCCGATGACTCTTAAAGTTACTGAGCGAGCACTACCAGCTTTGGACTATCAGCTCATTGAATCCATTCAAGATGCTTAGTACCGATGGCATCATGCGTCGGTGTTGTGCGGCCGGATTTCCCCATTCTATGCGAGCTCCATGAACGAGGGCTTTGCCACAAAGCTTTAGCGGATAGTAGGAGTTACTTCCATACCCAAGGCAGACAATTTCTTTCATGTATACCCGCAGAGATTTCACACGCATCAGTCTCTCATCGTTTCTTTTAAAAAGTTGTTTGAGCTGCACATCGGAAACAGAACTACATGCCTACTGCACGGGTAAATCGGTGGAGTGGCCGTCTTTCTCGGTTATAAATATGATTGATCACTCCCTATCGTAGAGGCTCTAACTATGCAGTTGTTGCCTTCCTTGAGGAGATCAGCGTTTGGAGAGATTGACGTCTGACTGAGTGTTCAAAGGGATAACTTATAAGGATCTGTTAACGGTAAACAGGACGCATTTCGGGATACTAATTAGGATCTCAATTGGTCATTTGCAATAATAGTATTGCCTCAAGCGCAGTCCATATTTAGTATAAAATCTGGATGAAATCATCTCATTATCTGTTCCTTGGCTGTCTAGCATATAAGAAATTTGCATTTAATGTTATGGTAATGGTAAATGTAATTATAATGATAATTGAAGGGGTAACTGTAATGGAAATCGTAATGGTTATGGTAATGGTAATGGTAATTGTTATGGTAATGGTAATGGTAATGGTTGTGGTAATGGTAATTGTAATTATAATTGGAGACGTAAATGTAATGGAAATCGTAATTGTTATGGTAATATTACTTATAAGGTAATGGTTATGATAATGGTAATGGTTTTCGTATTGGTTCTAGTAGTATTATTTGTAATGTTAGTATTAATGGCATATAGTTGTAATTGTAATGGTAATGGTTACTGTAATGGTAAGTGTAATGGTTATGGTAATTATAATGATAATTGTAATGGTAATTAGAAGGTTAATGGTAATGGTAATTATAATGTATTCATGATGGTTCTTGTGGTGGTTATTGTAACGGGTGATTTTTTTGAGGTTAGGATTTTCATGCATTAGTATTTGACAGATCACGTGGGATTTCAGACATGGTGTCAAAGAGAAAGATGCACAGTATGCTTTGACATTTCATCATGAATAGACTTACTAACGAGCAACGCTTGCAAATCATTGAATTTTATTACCAAAATCAGTGTTCGGTTCGCTTTACGTCCGATTTATGGTCTACATAATCGACCAAGTGAGCAAACAATTAATGCGATTGTGACCAAGTTTCGCACTCAGTTTACTTTATTGGACATTAAACCAACCACACGAATGCGTACAGTGCGTACAGAAGAGAATATTGCGTCTGTTTCTGAGAGTGTTGCTGAAGACCGTGAAATGTCGATTCGTCGCCGTTCGCAGCAATTGGGTTTGCGAAACACATTTCGAACCGAACACTGATTTTGGTAATAAAATTCAATGATTTGCAAGCGTTGCTCGTTAGTAAGTCTATTCATGATGAAATGTCAAAGCATACTGAGCATCTTTCTCTTTGACACCATGTCTGAAATCCCACGTGATCTGTCAAATACTAATGCATGAAAATCCTAACCTCAAAAAAATCACCCGTTATTACATTACCAGTAATATTTAATTAGTTAGGACTAAATATCCAGCCAATTTGAACCTTCCTACCAAGAAATTTAGCTTTGACCTCAGCTCCATTTGCTTAACCAAAGTAAAGTTGGTTAAAAGCTCTAACTATTAGAATTTCAATTCCGCACTCGGCAAACTACCTACTTAATATCGTATCTACTTATTACATAATAGTCAGATATCACATTAGAGAAGATACTTTCGAGGAAGTCGCTATTGCAGTGGAGTGGGCAGTGCAAGAGGTGTGCGTGTGTAGCCGCTAGGGGAATCATGTGAAAAAGTCAATGTGTAAAGTTGCGCCCAAAGTTATGCTAAGGTATTTGCGCTGCAAGATTTACGAGCAACGCCTGCACTTTGCCTGAAAAACGGCAACGTCAAGCCAGCACCAGACAAGAACATAGTGGATGGAGAACATCATGTACATACATGTTCATACATATATATAACTGCGAGTAATACTACTCCATACATAGATTTATATGCAGATTGTGCATAGGGGTGTTGTGAAGCCCCAGTAAGGCAGACATCGCAAAAAAAAGACATTTTACAAACTTTTTAACTGCATTTTAGCAAAGTTGTCGCGTTTCCGCTCATTGAGCGACAGGTAGCGCGGAGAAATTGCTATAGCGGCGAGTAGATAACGAGTGTTCACGAGAATCTAGTGGGCGTTTAGGCGGCACTAAAATTTTGCTACAGTGCAATCACTTTGATGGTGTAAAGGTGTTGAGGATGCGATTTATTGAAGCAGCAATGCCGCAATCACGCCTACAAACGATCAAATACACAAACACACTCTGCAATAGTACACATATATATACAATTATGTACTTTATATTATACGTAGTATATATACATACTTATTTACATAGTATATCTATACATTTGCACACGGCCACGTATTTGCACAAACTAAGTACGTTGAGCTAGAATCTGGCGCTTGAATGCGCTCCCGAATCCGTTTAAAATTTACGACCAAATGATGCTAATGACTTTAAAATGCGGCTGTGCCATTAAAAGCTCAAATGTCAGCGTAACGGTGCAGCGGTGCCACTGCACTGCGCGGCTAGTGATGAATCTTTGGCAAATGCGTCAGTGCAATTGAGCTTGACGCGTTAATGATTTTAACGTGATTTTATCTGAAAATAAAAAAACTAGTTTCAAAAATTATACGCAATGCAAAACTAGAGCGTGAATTGCCGGATGCTTGCAAATTAAGCTTTTGTATAGCTTCGTTTAAAGCAAACAAAAATTATAGCGTTTTCTGCTCAGCGGTGCAGATGCATTTAAATTCTTTAGAGCAGGCGAGATTTTAAGCGAATTCACTTTCAATTTTATATTTTATGGAAAACGTCTTTTATTTGGTACATAAATTTGTAATCAAAAATTCAACGAATTCGGACAAATTTAACTGCTGCCATGGCACACACTATGCATGTATGTATTTATGAGGAAGAGCGAGGAATATTGCATAGTGTCAGGCAAGCATTTGTTATTGTTATAAAAATGCATAAATTTCACTTCACCAAATCTCTCGGCGAACAAAATTCTATTGTTAAAAGTCAAGGGAATTTGCATACATACATACCTACTTAGTTATTTATAAATTCATGTCGTCTTGCTTTTTAGTATAAAGAAAATAAATATTAAATGAAGTTTTAAAACTTTTGAGGATGCCAGCGAATTTATGCTCAGAAATATCAAAGATAAAGATTTTATAGAATTTCTATCGAATAGATACATAAATTATTTTATTTTCAATTTATAAGGATTTCATATTTTAGTTCGTTATCTCCATTAAAATTATAATGCCAATCCAAGCACTCAAGCATAGAATACATTTTTACTTTTCAATTGCCAAAAATCAACAGTAAGTCGCAGCAAACTGCAAACTTGCACTTTACTTCTTTTCACGTAGTCTAATTAAAGAGCTCGACATTTTTACAAAGGTTTGTTGATTTTTTTTTGAAATACCGCACAAAGTGTGAAACATGGATTTAGAGGGCAATTCTAGCGACTAACTTTCAAATAACCAAAGCCTTTTGAAAGACAAAAGTCTTTCGTAAGATAATTGTTAATTCTGGCAACTGCCTTGAAAGCTCGTTTCTACCTTTCGAAATACTAGTTGAAAGATTAGGACGTCTTAATTAAGCAAAAAGTTTTCTAAAAATCAAATTGAATTGAAATAAATATTTTTTTTTTAAGATTAAAAGTAAATAACATTTAAAAAGCAAAAAAATAAATGAATTAAGTTCCTATTAAAATAAATAGAAAAATAGATTTCTTTTTAAAACAATAAAATTTAAAAATGAAAAGAAGAAAAAAATTCAAATTAAGTGAAAGCTAATTTTAAGGATTAAAAATTAAATTAAATTACCATCACCACTTTAAATATTTTTTAATATTTCTATGAAAATAATATAAACCTAATTTTGATTGAGCGTATCATATTTTACAACACAAAAACATCGGTCGTAAAGATTAAGTGTTTTGGTTAAAATTCATCTTTGAGTGCACAAGGGTAAAGTTCTTACCAGTGTCCCACCAGTCACATTTCTTCAAATGATAGTTACATAAAACTAAACTTGTTAAAGCAATTTTATACATTAGTTATCGTTCTATTTTAGAAAATATCTTTCGATGTTGTTTACGTTCCCACGACATAGTTATAATTCACAATTGATCACATTCTGTAGTAAAGTTTCCCACCAGTCACAATGGAATGGAACAAAAAATTATTTTCGAAAAATTGTGTTAAACAAAAAACTATTTTTCTTTTTATAACAATAAGATCTTAAAATTAAATGTAAACTAAGCCAACAAAAAAAATAAATTTCCAAGAATTTATTTAATTAAAAAATATGTTCTTAAAATTAAATGTAAATTTAGCCAACAAAAAATAAAAAAATAAGTTTCCAAAAAATTAATTGAATTAAAAAATATATTTTTTAATGAACAAAATCTAAAGGTTTAAAGAAGAGTGAACTAAAAAAACGTTTGTAAAAATTAAATGAAATAAAAAATAAGTTATTTTAAAAACAATATACAAAAGAAAATAATTAAATAGGTTCCTAAAAATTAAAGGAAATCAACAAAAAAATAACTTTTTTTCAAACAATAAAATCTTAAAATTACAAGAAATTGAATTAAAAAGAAATTAATTAAAAAAATATATCAAAACATCCGCTGCCGGAGGGCTTTACCTCATATCTCTCGATTGGAACACCGATGCAGTGCTCACTCGGCCATTGCAACAGTTAGAGCAGCGCAAGCAAAATTATATTATAGAGCTTCCTGTCATAAGATTTTTTGCCTGAATAACCAAAATATTTCAAACTATGTTGCCTACAACCTTTCAGTTGCCTTGCAAAAGGCTTTAAGCTATTTCAGCCAGTATAATCCTGTTAACCGGCCTTTGTTAAAGAATAAAATATTTAAAAGGCCACGCAATGAGCCGCAAAGCAGCGAACTTAAAATTAAAGCGGCTTAAAATTAAAACATATGAAATACTCTACAAGTGGCCCCGCAATAAGCGGCATTTCTGTATGGCGCCGCTTAGCCGCTCGCCGCTTTGCCACTCATTGCGTGGCCTCTACCTTAAACAGCTTAAACAAATACCGAGATCATCGATACACTCCTGATCGGAAGTCTTGGATTGAGAATAAACACAACGAAGTGCAATATAATTTTTTAATGCACGCCTCCCTTCGAATTCCACGGTTTCCTTAAAGCTTAGAGTGCACTTAAAAATTTATTGGTTGCGAAATGAACTCCTTGGTTATAATTAGCATGTAAAGGAACTTTTCGTTCACCAATATAAATGCAAACTCAACATCCAAGAATGTTGATCAAATTACCACTACATTTCAGCGCAGTGGACAGTGGAAGTATGAGTGGAGGCGAAAAATGTGCTGGAAGTCAATATGCAAATGCATGTATGTACATAAGTGTGTGCGCAAATGCAAGATGGCTGTAATGAAAGTGTTGGAATTTTCACGATAACGCAGCCATTGGTGTTGGCCATAAAATCTTTGCTGCATTAACATAAATTTCCGGTGACAATGCGTGTGGCCGGGTAATGGCCGTGGCAGGAGCATACAAAAAAACACATGCGTAAGTACGTAGAAGTGCAATTACTTATGACCGCTTGCATACAGGTACATACGTACGTGCACATTTTTGCTTATATATAAATACATATACGACTTATTATATATACAAAACAAACTTTAGCACTTTTACGCGCACATCTTATGTACATACATATAAATGCATATATCAAATTGCGCTGCTGGCGCGTGCGACAACCGCGAATGGGAAATAATTTATGCAACACTTAACATACGTACATACGTATATATGCAAAAATGCGAGAATTATAGGAAATTGCATGCATTTGAGTATACGTACATATGTACATATTTTTTGGGTGCATTTACATTGAAGTAAGGGTCGTAAACCAGATGCAGCCGCGCAGTCAAAAGCAAATGGATTAACACTTATGCGCCAGCTGCCATGCCTTTCATATGTACGTATGTGTGTATATTAGGGTGGCCCTTATTTCGAAGAGAGCTCGCATTCTCCATTTCATCCTTCTATATTTTTGTGAATAGCCTAAACTATACAAAGTTTTAGGACAATCAAAAAGGATTTAGCGCTCAAAGTTTCGCTAAATCCTAAGTATTTTTCGTAGAAACTGTGTAGAAGCAATATTTTTCAATCGGCTAAATCATTTTACCCTCCGGAGACTTCCAGAAAAAATAACCAATTGTTTTTTTAAAAGTTTAATAATATTAACAACTTTTTATGGTTCCCTTAAAATCTCTAAAAAATGCAGTGGGGGATCCATAAAAAATCGTTAATATTAAACAAATTTGAAATAACCAATTGGGTAGTATTTTTTTGAAGTCTCCTGAAGAGAAACAGAGTTTGCCGATTGAAAAATATTCCTTTTCAAGTATACTACACAATTTCTACGAAAAAAATGTTTTTTCGCCTAGGAAAATACATGGGAAACTTTGAGCTAAATCTTTTTTGATTGACCTAAAACTTTGCATAGTTTAGTCTTTTGGGCTATTCACACATTTCTAAGGGGTGAGACCGAGAATCCAGACACTTTTACTTTTCTCCGTATAACTAAAGGCCATCCTAATGTATATATGTATGTTTGTGTAAATAAGCGCAAACACATATGAATGTAGCTATGAAATGAATATGTATACATCATTTGTTTAAAGTACGCACACAAACAATATGAAACAGCAATAAGAAAAACAAATGCAACGGAAATGATGCATAAATGACCGCCAATAACTCCAGTCGCGCGCAATAAGAGCCTCATCCGGCACATGGCGTACCCAACACATTTAAATCACATCCATATGTACATAAATTCTATGCCGCCAACAATATACGAATACAACAATTCAAGCAGTAAACAACAACAAAATCCCAACCGTTGAAGAAAAATGTGACTGCAAGCGCTGCAACAATGATTTTTAAAAATAATATTTATATACATATGTACATATGTACATATGTATATGTGTTGGCAATTGTAGGCGCCAAAGGATACTCAACGATTTATCAATATCCGTTGAGTGTGCGCATAAATATTTAAAGCATCGAAAATTCACGACGGCCCACAAGCATTTGTCTTGTATTATCCAGGCATATGAATGAGTACATTTACACATATAAATATGTATGTATATAGTCATGTGCATATGAACTTTTTGTTCATGCGCACGTATGTATGTATATCTGAGTTACTTTTACGCCTGAAAAGCATTAAAGTGTACCTTTCCGCGCGTAAATCCTAGCCAATGAAAAGCGGATTTTAAATGACTGCTATTGAAATATACACTTTTCAGGATGCTGCAGTTTTTGTCAATATATTTGCGTATTAACGAAAGAAATGTCTTTTTTTGAGTTAAAACTTGACTCGAAAGTAGTCGTTAACTTTAATTCTTCTTAAGTTCTTTGCTGAAATTTTTTTTATATTTGTGCTCAGATGGCAGCGGTGAAGCAGAATTTCTTTTCCTGTGCGAACGCCTCGGGCTGGCTTTCTTAAAACATAAAACTTAAGGTCGATTCAATAAGTGGCATTCACAAATTCATACACGGTTCAAAATGTCATATCTAAGTTTCCATTAAAACTACATTTTTTGAGCCTGTAGACGGTTTTTCTTTATCTTATTGAATTCAGTGTTCTATTGGTCTATTATCAAGGTTATTACTGTAAAAAAAGGGTATGGCCAGTTTAACGAAAGCAATTTAAGTGATAAATTATTATTATTTTTTTGAATCTAATATGAAAACTGGCAGAAAAATAATTAATTTTTCACTTATATTGCTTTCGGGAAGCCGCCAGTTAGAGCTGAAAACTATGTGAGGAGAAACACAGTTTTGGGTAATTTTTAAAACTTGCTTAGAATCCTAAATAGCAATGATTTTTATTTTTTTGCTCGCTGTCCCTTACAGCATTTTATAGTTGTGAATATGGCCGATGTCCGCTTTTTTATTTCGAAGATAAAATCATGAAAAAAATAACT